GGTCAACATCAGAAAAAATCTTGCGTACGGTAAGTGTCAAGTTCTGGACCACCTGATTCCAATGGTTGCGACCATTCTTCTCCAAGGCAGGGAAGATGATGGGCAGTATGACTTTGCGATTTTGTCTAATCAAGTTCTCTATATGATCATTGTTCCACAAATACAATGCTCTCTCTGCCACCTGTAGAAGCAAGCACAAGTTGGATTGATATTTTTATTAAGGAGGTTACCATCATCACGAACAAATATGATGGCCTAGTGGACCAACAGCATGGTACAAAATCATAGCCTCATTTGCAGGAGAGATCAACAGGAAACCACTCCAAACATATTTGTGCAAAATGGTTCGTGATTGACATATTCTTGACAACTTAGATTGCAGCAAGTTAACTTCAATTTACTGAATAAAATAAAATTTACGTGCACATTAAAAGCTAATAAGGAAGTTCATTTTACATACTTGTAAGAAAAAGAACTAACATTTGAGTGCATAATTTAGTTTTTCTTGATCCCGCCTAAGCAAACATTCATATTGATTAACAGACAGTCCCTGGTACAGTATCTTTCTAAAGAATAGAGCATAAAGATAGAGAAATGTAATACAAAAATATAGAGGATAAAGGATCCTTTTATATGCATGAACAACAAAGAAACAATGACATTTCTTCAGTACAAGAGAGCAACTCAATCCCCAATAATGTAGTTAAGAATGTGCAGGCAAAAAAAAAGACCCTCAGCCCATAAAATGCAAAAGCACCAATCCATCCAAGATATGCTTTGATGGTTGAGAACAATGATTGAAAATCCTGGATGTGCTAACCCCAAACACCCGGGACTTCACTTCAACAGCCAACCTCTTAAATGGCCTGCTGGGTTACACGCCCATGCTACCAAACCGGGCAATAATTGAAATGAGAGAACAAGTGACTATTAAGGTCCAAGATTTATGAATGAAAATGACAGTTTTTGGTGGAAGGTAATTAAGGCTAAGCTTGGTACTAAAGAAAGAGGTTGGTTCACTAGACTGATGTCTAGACCTCATGGCAACGGCTTGTGGAAGAAAATATGCATAGGCAAAAGAACATGCCACAATTGCATCAGCCGAAGGATTGGCAAGGGGGATAGGGTCAGGATATGGCATGACAAGTGGATGAAGGGGTGCCCTCTCAAAACCCAGTTCAATCAGATATATACCTTTGCTCAATACAAAGAGCCTTGATACAGGATGGCTACATCAACATTTCAGGGAATGGGGAGTGGTTAGTGGAGGTCAGAAGGAACCCTAGTGACTGGGAAGTCAGGGAGTATGGGACTTTACTCGCCCTTGTGAGGGTTAGGCTTGATGGGAGTAAAGACCGACCACTTTGGAGTCTTGATACTAAAAGACCTTTCTCAATCAGTTCTTTCTAGAACTATCTGACAAAAAGAGAGGCTATCATTAGGGGCTTTCTTTACAAGAAATTTTGGAAGATTAAGCCTAGAGTTGCCTTTTTTGCTTAGAAGGTTGCTAGAGGTTGCACTTTAACCTTGGATAAGCTGATCAGAAGGGTTAGGATTTTGGTGAATGATTGTTATATGTGCAGAAGGAATATGAAGTCGTGAAACCATCTCCTATAATGGGACCCCTTTGCATATGGTTTGTTGGGTATTAACTAAGTGATAACTGGTTCCTTGAGGGAGGAAATTTAGGCATGGATAGGGATCAGGAATGTGAAGAAACATTTTAGCCTTATTCCTCTAGCTACTTTTTGAGTAGTATGGAAGGAAAGGAACAAGAGGGAATTTGAGGGCACGGATGTCAATTTTGACAAGGTTAAGGATAGCTGGTTCCAGACTCTAGTTTTTTTAATTAAGGTCATAATCTCTATTCTTTTGAAGACTTTAAGGACCTTATTGATATTCTGATTGATATATAAATACTTTGTATATGGGTTTTCATTCCTTTAGTGCAAGTGGACAAATACATCAATACTTTTATTTCAAAAAGAAGTGACTACTAAAGTCCTAGTCCAAGTAATACATGAAACAAATAACCGAAGACAAAATTCCATGAGGTCTAATAACTTGAGAAATGCTATTGTTAATCTGGTTAAGATCCATAGTTCAAACAAATATTCTTACACTCAAGCAAGATATGGCAAATGTGGTCTTTTCTAGGGGGCGGGGGGGCGCGGGAGGGGGAAGGAGGGAGAAGGAAGGGGAGTGACAAATATCAGGTTTCTTGATACTTCGCCATCTGTCTACTCAAGTGTAAGAATAGATATGATTTAGCACAGTAGAACAGGAAGTAGAAAGATACCAACCACAGAGATCAACAACGATCAGAATACGAGATTTATCACAATAATAATTAGAAGGTTGTTAGGCACCCAATTCAATTAGAAAATATAAGTTGTACTCATATGCATTCTGAAAATTATCAATTAATCACCCTTGTTCTTATAGGGTGCCACATAAGCTACGATGACTGAACCCTTAAATAGGAAAACAATTAAAAAATAAAACTCTTAAGTAAATAAGAAATAAAATCTAATAAATTATAATAACTACAAAAACCCTACATGAAAATAATAATTCTAGCGGTAATTTTAAGTTAGTAAAAACTATAGATGGCCCGCACTATTCTCTCCTCTACTTCAGAACAAGAAGACACTGATGAGGAATCCTAGATATATTCATCAAGAGGTGAGAATCCAAAATAAGTAATAGCTTTTTATTGCCATGAAGTGCATGAATCTGGATGCTCCTTCCATCTTACAAGGAGTAGATAGAAACCCATGAAATGGAGTTAATGCATCCATTAACTAAAATGAGCTTCCTAGAAATTGGAGTTCAGAAGAGGGGGGGAGAGAGGAAGAGGGAGAAAATAAAGAAGAGAAAGAGGAGAAAAGAGAATAGAGAAAGTAAAAGAGAAGAGAGAATAGGAGAGTAGAGTAGTTAAGAGAGTCTTCAGGGGGAAGACTTAGAACAATTTCATCATTGCGACTTAGAATAATTTCATCACTGCTGATCGAGGAAATGTGAACGATACAACCCTAGAGCTTATAAAGCTAATAGTTAAGCTACTTAAAAGAGAGTCCAATTTTGGTGGGTATTAAATGGAGGGTGGGGAGGGGCAGGGAAGGGCGACAGACTCCATTTTTGGTGGGATCTTTGGCTGGGTTGTGACCTTCTCAGAGATCAGCTTCCCAAGATTTTTAATATAACACAACTAGAAAAATATTTTGATCTGTGACTCTTTCAAAGACAGTGGCAGTGGGGTATTGGAATGGCAGGTTAAAGTAATGAGAAAGCGGAATGATTGGGAGATTTCAGATTACAAGAATCTCCTTGCTACTTTGTCTCTCATTTCTCTGGATGGAAGCAATGATCAACCTTTGTGGAGATCAATTCTACAGGAGTGTTTGTGGCCATATCCAACTACAAGTTCTGGACTAATGAGGAGGGGAAGGACCATGGTGAATGGCTGTTACTTATGTAAAAGGGCATCAAAATCCTGCAATCAAGTTCTTTTTATAGTGTCCAGTTTCATATAGGCTTTGTACGATGGTGTACGGATTGTTGGATATTAGTTGGGTGATGTCGGGTTCGATCAGGGATGAATTATGGGCTTCAAAGGGTCTCAGAGGACGTAGGAATCATGTGGACCTCATTCCGCCAACTATCTTTGGCTAATTTGGAAAGAGATGAATAAAGAGCCTTTGCAGGGATTGTGGAGGAAGGGGATTTTGATAGAATAGGGATAGATGGCTGCAAATTTTTGGACCTTTGATTATGGGTCCTCCTCTCTATTCTATAGAGGATTTTGTAAATCTTGTTGTCATTTTGTTAGAATTGTTTTTTTCTTTTTATATATAGGTCGGCACCCCCTTAGTACTTGTAACATATTTATACTTTTTATTTAAAGAAAAAAAGTTAAGCTGCTTAAGAAAACTTACATAAAATAACAAAACACTAAACTTCACTAAACTAATTAAAACAACCTTCTCAACCCATTACAAAACCAAAATTCCAGAACATCTAAATTTCATTTACCCTTTCAACAATACCCATACTACCCCTAGGTCCTGGCAATACCCTCCCCAAGAAGATTATCCTTGTTCTTGGTGGGTATATATTACGTGCAGCCACAATATCAATTCATATCATTGCAGAAGCAACTAATTTCCCACTACTCAAGGCTCTTGGATTGATGATGTTCACAACAAAAGTGATGTCAATTTTCACTTGTTGCTCATACTAAACCTAACTGATTATATCCACTGGTGTATTAAAAGTAGCTTTATACCAACTCAGGAGCTGTTTTTGTACCAGGAATGATCTTTGAATCCATCCACCGAAGAAACTACCACTTCTTCTATGAAGGCTTATTCCTCCACCTCTAGTTTTTGACAACGGCAGCTGATCAAAGGCATCAAATATGTTGGCTCTTTACTGGTGCCTGTGCGCATGCCTGCGCGTGCAGGCGCCTCAGCCAGCAGGCGTGCGCAGGCGCCGCCTGAGCGCAGCATGTCTGCGTGCGGCAGGTTTTGGGCAGCGCGCGCGGCCCTTGGGCAACACGTCGCCCTCGGGTAGAGTGCGCCGCCGTTGGCCGGCATGCCCTCAGACTTTGTGCCCAGCTATCGCGTCGCTGTCATCTCATTGGCCATCCGTCAGTCGTCGCGTTACGTCGGTCAACTTTTTCTCCCTCTCTCCTTACGGATTCGCACCACTAGACGAAAATATGACGACCAATTTTCTCAATAAATAGGGGCCCTCTCCCCACCATTTCTTCACACTTTCTCTTCATTTTACTTCCTTAAGAGTTTCCAAGAGAGAGAGAGAGAGAACTTGAGAAAGAAGGAAAAGAAAGAAGAAGAACGTAGAAACTCTTCAAACTTTCAGTAATGGAAGTTTTGGTATTTTCTCCTGCATTTTAAGGAGTATTTCTAGAAAAATTAATTTCAAATATTACATGACTGATGTGAAATAGAAATTGCTTGTTTTAGTAAATTTTTAAACTTTAAAAATTAAATTGTTAAATGATATGGCTATAATGGAATATTAGTGATGCATGAGATATCATGGTTTTTGCATTGAGATGCATGGATATTTTATGAAAATGGACACGTAGGCCTAACACCGTAATATTTATGCATAACGTTTACAATGATATAATCCGTTAATCTAT